ATTTAAAACGAAAACTAAGACATCTCTGACCCCCAGAAAGAACTAGTGAAGATCCTTGGAGAAGTCTGAGAATGTACCACACTGGTAGAAGGACCTGGGTTCAACCCCACCCCCTCTTGCACCACACGGATGAGCATGGTGGTACCACCTGTATCCTACACTCAGATCCTTACCTGGAAGGAAAGATGAGACATCAGATGACAGACAGGATACTTTGAGAACATTATGTGCTCCGTGGACGTGATAATTGGCTGCATGACATGTCCACAATAGGCTCAGTGGTAGAGCCCTTACCTGGCATGCCCTGGGTTCAGTCCTTAGCACCAAAAACAAAGGCTAGCAGCATGGTAATGAAACAGCAGTACCCAGGTCACAATTCTAGGACAAAAAGTCCACCGAATCTCAATCTTAGTCCCCCCCAACACACATTCCCTCTGTGCATGCTGTCTCCCTAGCCTCCTACTGCTGTTTCCCATCAGCAGCGAGACCTTCTTGAAGGGCCCGCCTCCAATTCTATACAGCCCTGCCTACTATCAACCGTATGCACCTCAAGTTCTGCTTAATTCTTCCACTGGTGAATTGCCATGAAAAAGCACAAAACCTGCAGCACACCACGCCTGTCTGTGCTCTATGCACTACCATACAATTCCTGAGCTTCGGGCAAGGGGCTGGAGGTTGAAACACACAAAGACACACAGAGAAACATAAACACAGACCTCTAGACACTGGTAAGAAGCCCTTTATTCAATAGCACCATGGAGGCTTGTATACCCAACAGCCAAGTGGGCCAACAGGTGAAAGCCTTATCCTCTGATCCTCAAGGCCAAGGCAACACGTGCTCGTGAAGCAGAGCTGGTAAACAACTTTGACACAGCTTTCAGTAACTCACATCAGAAGGAAAGTAAAGATCTCTAGCAGGGAAGAGCAGCTGGAGGCCAGGACTCCAAATGGTCCCAACAAAACCAAAAGTGGATTGGTAGTCCTTGAGGCCTCCAGGAATGACAGAAGACACTGCCTGGGTGTTTAAGGGAGTTAGAAAAAAAATTGAAAGAAAACTGAGGCCGAGGAAATGAAAAACCAGGAGAATGGACTAACAGTGACCAACCGGGCCACTCCTGTGGCCCCGGCTTTTTCCCTCCTGCTTTTTCCTTCCTGCTGCCAAATAGAGGAATCAGGGAGACACCTGCTGGGCCTCTTGGCAACCCACACTGAAGGTGTAGGTGCTGGGACAGGAGCATGCAGAACCCACCCCTTCTCAGAATGGGGCCCAGGGATTCTCAGTGGGGGAGGGGGATCCAGGAGCAGCTGCAGCAGCACCACCAAGGGAACTCGTCAGAGGTTCAGGTATACAGTCGGCTAGGAAACCAGGTTCCCAGGTAGCACTGACGAGTTACCAGCAAGCCGCCCACCTCGCCCACCTTGGTTGGAGAGCACGCAGAGACTGTTTTAACTTAGCAGGTGCTGAAACAATACTGTCAGATGAAATGAACTGTGAGTCCTGGGGCATCCTATGGGACTCTGAGACGCTTTTTGATGATGCTCATTGAATGTCTGCGGCTCTCTACCTTCAAGACCAGTCAGAGTCTACTTCCCTGTGCCCTGGAGTCTCTCAGTATTTCAGTGAGTGGCAAGGAGCCAGCCTCAGAGAGCCCAGGTAGACATTAGCCATGAACAAGAAACCAAACATTGCTATTGGAAGCCTCTGGGACTTTATGTTACTGCAGCATAACCCAACCCATCCAGTCTGACGCTCAGTCAGTATTTTTAAAGAGCGGAACCTCCCCTCAATGCCTCAAACTCCCATGTAGGTGACAGACAGCCTGCTCTGAAGAGACATAAAAAGCAGCTTCACACAGGCAGCGACACCAAGACTGTTTCAAGTAGAGGAAGAAAGACTCTCGTGTCCTGTGATCTCTGGAAAATCTTTGATACTTGGCAATCAAGGGGGCACTCAGCTGTGTCTGCAAACCACGAGAAAGGACAGGGTGTAAGCTAGGAAAGCCGCTGTGAGTAGCTCTGGTGCAATGCTCCAGACAAGGATGGCTGCTCTGGGCAGAGGAGAGGAAATAAAGGCAGAGAAAGCATTCCCCCTAGATCTGTGTTGAGCTTTCTGCTCTCCTGCACACTCAGCCACTAGGTCTCCTCTATTTCATGCACAGGAGGGCTCAGAGAGGCCAAGGGATTTGACCAAGATTGCACAGCGAAGTTAGTGGCAGAATCCACTAAGTCTTTCTCTCCTGGACCATCATCCCTCTGCCTGTGAGAATCGAGACTCTAGGAAGGTTTGCTGAAGGAGGGTGATATTCCCTTCCTCGCCTGGAGCACACGTCAGGTTGGGATGCTATTCTCTACCTTCCCACAGCCAGGTGTCCCTATCACAGCTTCCCCCAGCCTGGAGTCTGCACTCCTTAGACGGGATGAAGCCTGTGCAGGGCTGGCCACCACCCCAGTCATTCATCTCCATGAGCAGGAAGACAAGGCTGCTGGCAGTGCCATGTGCTTCATGGTGTCCCTTCGACATTGGTGTCTTGACCCTCAGTCCCTCAGACATGACCTTTTTAGGAGACATGGTTTTAGAGAGGCAATGAGGTCATTTAGGAAGGGCCTAATGAAGTATAACTTAGGTTCTTATAGAAAGAGGAAATCTGAACACACACACACACACACCACACACACGCGCGCGTGCACGCGTGCCCAGGGAAGAAAAGTTTTGATTAGCCCTCACTCTTCCTGGTGAGTTCACCTCCCCTGTTAATGGCTACTGCTGATTCCTTTGCTGATAGAATTGGCTTCCTTCGGCTTCCAACATGGCCTCCAGCCCCGGATTGGGACTGCCGAGACAACCAGCCTCCTGGGCTGAGCAACTACTGGGTTCTCAATCTCTCCAGTGGGCGATGGCCATTGTTAGATTGCTAGAACTGTACTGTGCAACTCGGTCTTGTGCACAGTGTGGGTTCCCAGAGAAATGTTTATGAACCCCTTGAACAGCTGAAGTCAAAGTCAAGGCCACAGAAAAGGGAACTGGCATTTGCAAAGGCCCTCTGATGGAGAAGTGTCATCTGTCTATGTCTTCCTTTCATTGGTTAATAAAGAAACTGCCTTGGCCCTTTGATAGGACAGAAAATTAGGTAGGCAGAGTAAACAGAACAGAATTGTGGGAGAAAGAAAGCAGAGGCAGGTAGACATCATAGCTCTCCTCTCCAAGATGGACGCCGGTTAGACTCGTCCTGGTAAGCCACACTCAAGTGGCAATACGCATTAATAGAAATGGGTTGAATCAATATGTAAGAGCTAGCCAATAAGAGGTTATAACTAATGGGCCAGGCAGTGTTTAAATGAATACAGTTTCCGTGTAATTATTTCGGGTAGAGCTAGCTGGGCGGCAGGAACGCAGCCCGCCATTCCTCACCACTACAGCCTTCCTCTGTGTCTAGCAATGCAGCTGATGCTGGGCCCATTTTACAGGTTTGCAAACTGAAGTCACATGGGTTCGTGAAGCAGGAGCTGGTCTGTCTAACCTGTTGGAGAGCACAGTTCCTGGAGCCCAGACAGCCTAGACTCCGGCACGAGTGCTGCCACTTCCTGGTTCTGTGATCTTGACCAAATTACTTATGTCCTCTGTGACTCCGTCTCCCTATCTGCAAAATGAAAGAAACAATGGCACCTGTCCCCACAGGGTTGTTGTCTGACAATGAATGAGACACGGTTAGAACTGTGCCCAGCACATTCTGACTGCTTGACTCCATGACAACCAAGAGGCCAGAAGTGGCAGACTAAGAGTCAAACCCAGGCCTGGCCTACAGCACTGCTGATATGTCGCCCTATCCCAGGCTTGCTGATCCCTAGTCAAGCCTGGCTGGCTCTCACTTCTACCAGCGTACCCCGGAATAACCTCCATCCACAGGGAGGTGCCGGCCCAGGGCTCATGCAACTTGGTACTCAGTCCAGCAACTGGAAAAGCCTCAGGGATCTGGCCAGCGTGCCTTTCTTTGTACTTTTCCTGAGGTACCATCACTACTGGGCTGACTTGGAGCATCCTGCACTCATCCTCGGGAGCGATTAGAATTCAGTTTCTCTAGCATGAGAGGCAATGGAAGCCCAGGAGGGGAACCATCGCGTCATTCCCAGCTCCAGCACACGCACCTGTCCGAGTTCTTTCCAGCACAGGAGAATACTAGCAAGGTTCATCACTCTCTGAGAGGAGGCAGGAACTTTATGAGTGGGTTCCCTACTAGCCATGTTAAAGGGACATCCCAGCTTTCATGACACCCTGCAATTAGGGGGACATCCAAACATCCTCCAGGAGATCCTTTGTGTACCATCCCACTGGTCAGATTGGCTCTGAGAGACCCCCAAAGTCATCAGCCCAGAAAGCTGAAGAAACTTGCCCCGAGTCACATGGCCAGCAAGCCGGGGCCAGAGTCCACCCTCCTGGGCATCCCCTACCTACAGCCATTGGCATCTCAACTCTTGCTTTCCTGGTGTGTACTATCCCACGCATTCTCTGAGCAGCTATAATCAAACAAGGAAAAAGCGGTGCTCATCTTTCATGCATTCCTCCTCGTGTTCTGACCTACCCAGCCCATCTCCCTCACAGGAGCTGTGATCCAGCCATCCAGTCATGGAGTCCCCTGCCTTCCTCCCTCTTCTGCTCCCATCCGTCCAGCCTTCCACCTTCTCACCCATCATCTCCAGCCCTCCAGAAAAGTTCTCTCAAGCATCTAGACAGCTTTGCCCTGTGCCGGGCACTTGGAATTCCTTCTTCTTGCTCTTCACAGGGTCCATTCCAGAAGGAGCCACTTCTCCTCGACCTCCAACAGGACCTAGAACTGTCTGCCTCCACCTGCCCTGGTGGCAGGGGGAGGTTGGTTGATCTCAGGCCAAACCTCACTTGCATCAAGCCCAGAATCTCCTCTCAGCACTGATATCATGCATGGACTTACAAAGCCCTAGGGTGTCTACTGAGGCTCCCTCCCACCTCCACAAAGGCCCCTACTTACGAATGCAGAAGTCTCCATTCTCATAGTAGCCGGGGCAGCACTGGGACCTCCGCCGGTACATGGTCCGGAGGCCACGCCTGTACGCCGTCTTATAGCTGATCCTAGGCACGAGGGAGAGAGCCACTTGAAAGGATTGAAAATCAATCTATCCCGTTTAGAATGATATTTGTGTTAAGCTCTATCGAGGATGCCATTCAATAATTACTTTAAAATGCATGGCGGCTTCGAATATGAAAGAACGCAATAAAGAAAAATCGATGGTGGGATATGGGCCGCTGTGGAGCAGAATGTATTACCCACGTGGTGCTGGAGGAACCTGCTGACTTCCCTGTCTCTTCCAGATACAAGGGCTGCCAAGAACGCTGCTGGGGTGACATTGTGGAGGGTCACGGGGGTGGGGCTTCCCCTAGGGCCCTTAAAAACACTGGGTTCTGGACTCGGAGAAACCCTGGGGACCTGGATAGGAATGGAATCCTGAGAGCTTTGGTGCCCACTGCCATCATATGCCAGGATGTTGGCCTATGACGGAGAGGCTGCAAGAGGACTCTTATCGTGGCATCCCACATGAACTTCCTCAGGCCTCCTGCAGAGGGCGTGCTGTTCCCCAGGAAGCTCTAACCCTGCCCCCAAGCTGCCCAGGAAGAAGCTAGCATGGGATTCTAGTTTTTACAGAGACACGATATTTTGAGACTTGGTTCTGGCCCCGAGATTTATAGGCAAGATTCTCCCAGCAGCCTCCTGGGTCAGGGACGATTGCCACACCCCATCATCACGCCCCATTAATTCCATTTCTCTCATTTGTCTTTTAGAGCTTTCGTTCTTACTTTATGTTTCCCCCAGCCCACTACCCATTGCTTTATGGATGAGAAATTGATACTCAGAGAGGTTAATGACTTGCTTGCGGTCACAAATGTCAGGGTCAGACAAGAAAGGGAAATGAGAGGTGGGGGGACCATGATTAAGGTATATTATACTCCTATATAAAAATGTCATAATAAGATCTGTTATTTTCTACAATTCATATAGGCTAATAAAAAATACATTATCTTGAGAAAAAACTGCCAGAAACAGGATTCAAACTCAGTTCTCTCTAACTGCCAAGCCACAGTGCCCTGCCTAATGCTTGGTACCAGATCTCTCTGGTGGCTTTCTGGCATTTCAGAGCGTTTCGGCTGGGGTAAGACAGGAGGAGGTGGGTGTATGGACTGAGTCCTTAGGAGGAGTCACAGGGGGCACGGACAAGAAAAGCCCCTGCCACGTTCAGTGCGGTAGATTTGAAATGCCCATTAAAGGCAGAGAGGAAATGCCCAGGGCCTTGAAGACACAGCTCTTTCCCCTTCCCTGTCGTACCCAGGGGGCTGCCCTCGTTTCCTCTGTGAAGAACAGCGGTGCTGAAGTCCCTTTAGCCTGCTTCACACAGCGTTCTGGGCCAGGTTGGGAGACTATTCCTTCAGCCGCAGCCTGGACAACCCTCCCAAATCTTTAAAATTCTCACCTCATGACAAACGACAATGAGGACCTCATGGGAAATCTGTGATATTTGGGAATGTATTAAGTTAAGGTCATTCTACTTTGTCAAAAACCCATAATGGGTAAGCTGGCCTCTTAGGAAGCTACTTCCCCACACACAGAAAGGCAGTTCCTGGCCTGGAAGTGGTGTGTGTGTGTGTGTGTGTGTGTGTGTGTGTGTGTGAGAGAGAGAGAGAGAGAGAGAGAGAGAGAGAGAGAGAGAGAGAGAGAGATAATGGTCTTTATTCTGGGTTGACACAGAAGGCACTGGGCCATTCTCCCTGCCACATGAGATGACTCCCAAGTCTCCCATTGGGAGTTAAACCCTGCACCACCGATACCTCCCAGGAGAAAGGCCACCACTCCTTCTGGCTCCCCCAGCCTTGTATGCTCCCAGTGTAGGAAGCAGGGCAGGTGCAGCCTGGGGCCAGGCTGCTCTGGGGAAGATGCTGGACCAAGCTACTACACCCCGCAGACAGATGATGCCGCTGTCAGCATGCCCACTCCAGGTCATCGGAAAAGCTCCACAGAGCTTAATAATTTAGCAAAATCATTCACGTTCCAGGAACACAGCCTATTTTAATAAGCAGCCGCTCACTCACCCAGCCCCGGGGCAATGGAAGGCTGTGTAGTCCCCTGAGACAATGGAGCCACACTATGGAACAAACTCAAGTGTTGACACAGGAATCCCAGTGTCCAGGGCAAGACCAGTGCCAACTTCTGCCCCTGCCTCTGGCAAGGGTCACAGGCAGGCAACTCCCCAGAGAGGTCAGAAGCGAGCATCAAGCAGCCGGCTGAGGATGTGTTACTAAGTGGGTGACTACTGTACACAGGGGCTCTATCCTGGAATTGATGGGGTACAGAACAGAAATGCCTCAGAGTTGTACCCTTCCCTCTTGGTGAGGAAGTTGGGGTGCTCATCCACCAACTTTCCATGTTGCTGGTTGAGGGTTCCCTGCTCACAGGTTATGAAGTTCATCACTTTTAGTCAGAAAGAAAGCAGCTCACAGCATCTCAGACCACCAGCATTAGAGAATTCCAGGAACACAGTATGGACCGTGCACACAATGCCTGCCCCATGGTCTCTCAGTAACAAGCTAGAGAGCCGGGCATCTACCCTCCACCCTGTCCCCTGGGGAGGACTTACCGGTGCCGGGTGCACTTGAACCAGTTGAGTATATCTGCGCATCGTGTGTAGTAGATCTGATCAAAGGGGTGTGCATAAGACTCCTGCACAGTCACGGCATAGCTGAGGGCCAGACAAAAGATGGACGCCATAGTCAGTGAAAGTCAAGGCCATGCCAGAACAACCTCCCTTCTCAGACTTGCCCAGCCCACAGTGCCAAGACCAGGACCCAGCTCTGACCTCCCCTCCCAGCTCCCAGACTTCTGTCCTGGATCTCAGCCATGACCCTAGGTCATATCTGTGCTGGTTAGCGATAACTGTCAACTCGACAGAATCTAGAAATTAGCAGGAGGCTGTGCCTCTGAGCACACATGCAGGGCACATGGTATCCCAGTCAATGAGGGAGAAATCCTGCCCACTGTGGGGGAACCATTCCCTGGGTTGGAATCCTGAACTAAGTATATGAAAAGGAACGAGTAAGTTGAGTAGCAGCATGTGGCCTTTGTCCTTGGCTTTCTGACTGTGGATAGGAAATGATCAACTCCTACTGTGACTTCCCCACCATGCGGACTGCAAGCCAACACAAATCTTTTCTCCCATAAGTTGCTTTTGTCTGAATATTTTGTTACTATAATAGGAAAAGAAACTAAACCATAACCTTACTAACTTTTGACCCAAGTAAATTCTTAAATTCTGTTTCCCTTATCAGGTTTAGGTTTCTTCTGTATGGTTCCAGAAGGCAGATTCCACAGGTCAAAAGTATTTTATATTATCCAGGTATGTTGGTATGCACCATATAGCCTCAAGCATAGCGGCTAGAGGATATACTGAGCCAGGAGTCAGTCTGGGCAACATACAAGATCCTCTCTCTAAAGTAATAATGATGATGTGTTTGTTCGGATTCTCATTGTCTTTAACCTATGTGTATGGGAGATGTTCTTTAAAACAAGTGCATAAATGGCCCCATTGCATACATGAAGAAACTGAAGCTAGGAGAGGCAGCTTGCCCCGCTGTACCACTATCAACTGCTGCTGACTGAACGCCCCATAATAAGCCCTTTAATTCCATTCTTTCATATGTGTTTGTGTACAGGAGTACATTGAGTGTACTTGTATGTGTGCATGTGTGTAGAGGCCTAAGAACAACCTTGGCTGTTGTCTCTCAAATGCCTGCCACCTTGCATTATGAGACAGGGACTCTTACTGACTGGGAACTTGCAGAATAGACTAAGGTGGCCAAAGTGAGACCCAGGGGTTCACCTATCTCTGTCTCCCCAGCACTGGGATTCCAAGAACTCATCAGCATGTCTAGTGTGACTATTTGTTTAATGTGGGTTCTGGAAGCTCAAACTTGGGTCCTCAAGCTTTCTAGGCCAACACTTGACCAACAGCCTTTTCTTGATACTCTTATAAAGCAGGTAGAAGAATTAATCTTACTTTGAAAGATAAGGACACAGCATCACAGTCTAAGCAACTTCCCCTAGTTCTCCCAGCGGCCTTCTCATCTACTGCATCTCTAGCATGGCTGGGGCTACATAGAGTGCGTGTCTCCAGATCTTCCGGTGGAAGCAGTCACTATCATCCTGCCTACTAGCTGTAACCTGGACCAGCAGACAGAAGCCACATGAAATCTGTTCTGGGCTTCACCGAAGCAGGCTTTTCCTTTGCCACCCTGGCGAGGTGACATGAAGTGGCACTACTGACGCATGTCTGCCGATGTGCGGCACACACCTACTGGGCAGGCTGGAGAGCGTGTCAGGAATTAATTGTCACGTAGACTGGTATTCCATGTTTTCCCCAGAAGGCTCACTGACCTGGGCCAGATGGCCAGGCCCAGGCTGTAAAAGCCCATCTGCTTTGCCTGAGGAAACTGTTGTTTCATTTACAAGAGGGCTGGATGCAGTGGGACCACAGTCTGCTCCCTGATGCCTGCGAGGCTGAAGGTCTGGAGTCCTGCAAGCAGGCCAGGAATGGTCAGCGTGAGCAGACCCAGGCGAGTGGCAAGTTCCAACAATCAGGATGGTAACAACGTCTCTGGGGCTGGGTACCTGGGAGATGTGGTCCAGACATATAAGTCTAGGCAGGCATGGTCCACACCCCTGCTCGTTGCTAGGCCTTAGGAAACCGGCAGGTCAAGCACCCACCCCTGCTTCCCACAGATTTTCTAAAATTCCACAGCACCGTGCTGCGTTTTGCAAGGCTGTCTCTTAGAAGGCAAATGAATGAGTCAGAGCCTGGGCCTGGAGGCCTGTGTGGGGCCTATCACTCACTAGCATGTCCTTAAACATGTCATTGAACTCCCGTAAGCCTCCACGTCCTCATTTGAAAATCTGTGACAAATACGAGGGACTTGGTGGGTTGCAGTGAGAACTAAAGGACAGGGACAGTAATCTGTACCTCTTGATGGAGAAAAACAGTAAAAATGCTCACTGGATACATAGTAAGTGCTTAATAGATGCTAGCCTTCATCAGTGTGACACGCAACGATTTTCCTCCTGTGGTAGGCATGGAATGATTCCTCCTTACCATGTTGGGGGCAGGGAGCAGTCCTGCTACAGAATGGGCACCCCACCTTTGTTGAACACTTGGGGGTTCAGCTTGCTATTCCAGTGCTGACTGAAGCAAAGGAACCAGTCACCAAGGTGGGGGGGGGCTGTTGCTGTCATGGAGGATGGGGAGGAGCTGTTGGTGTCATGGGGGATGGATGAGGGGACTGTTGGTGTCATGGGGGTGGACTCAGCTTTGTAGGATCCCCAGGGCTGAGCAAGTCCAGCGAGAGGGCCTTGTACCAGTGCCAAGTCTCCAACCAGCAGTGTGTGCCCTGCTTTCACAGCCGGGTAGTTTAACACTGCTCACTTGCCAACATGCTAATGAGGGGCTAATCCATCATGTAGCACCAGGATTTACCAACTGCACACAGGGGAGCAGGGAAGAAGGGCGGTGCACTATCCTGGGTTTTGTGGTAGAGGAACATAATGAACAAGAAGCCCTCCAGAGGGGCTAACCCAGCTGAGAAAGTATCCCCAAGTACTCTCTGAGGACCGGGGTGTGTTTATGGAATGGAACAGACAAGATACATCTAAACACAGTATCAGGGGATCTTAGTTGGAAGATCTTAGAAGAAGGAATCACAGATAGCCTCCTTCCCAGGGGTAGAGGGGGGGAAAAACCTGGGTTTCACTCCTGGGTGGCTCCCTGTTCTCTCATGCAGGCCATGGCCTGAGCTGAGAGCTGCAGCCACCCAAGAGTCAGCTCACTTCCAACATTTTCACATTCCAACCTTGTTCATGTTGGGCAGGTGAGGCAGGTAGAGTTTCACTTCAAGTTTTAATAGATTCATTATGGGTCCTGTTATAAGGGATAGCTCTCTGTAAGAGCGAGAGAAAGAGACCAAGACTGGGACCTTAGAAGGAGACACAGATGACCAAAGAGGCAGCAGGATCCTAGAACCTGGCCGCTGCATCAGTCTTGCCTGACTGGTGATGGACAGCTTCTCTGGGGAAGAAGGCCCCAACCATAGGCTAAGGAGGAGTTCTGTCTATCAGTGAGGCTCCCTGAACACTGGGAAGCAAAGACTTAGATTCACCAACCATGAAGAAAAGAGAAAGTGAGAAAGATGGAAAACTGAATCTGAGTCCCTGGCCTGGGCTCCAGAGCCTGCGTTCATGTACCCCCTAGTAAGTCTCTGTGCCCGAGTTGATAACTACCCCGTCCTGAGCCAATGTTGTCAATGTGAAGACAATGACTACCAATCACTGTCACGAACCTGGCTCCCTTGCTCCTTCCATGAGCCTGTGAGGTGAGAATGTTTACTTGCCTTGCTGGATAGACCTGGCTGTGGGCTCACAGTTGTTTTAGAGGCTCCCCCAAGGAGCACAGCTGGCAGGTAGAAAAATCCAGGCTAGGACACCCTGAGCCACAGAAATACTCTTTGCTTTGGCCTTGGTGTCACCACAGCTCTGCATAGGACATCCAGCCACCAGACAACACACGGGAGCAGGCGCTGGCCCTCTTCTTCCCCCCAGTCTTCTTGGCCTACGGGTGTCTAGGCTGCCCCAGTGCCCGGTCTTGCCTCGACGAGATGTTTCTCTCTGCCCAGAGACTGGCCATCCATCCTCACGGGCCTATCTTGCTTTCCCTCCTCCACCATCCATTTCCCCCATCGGGTCTCCATCTTAATTTTACTCATTTGATTTATTAGTGTCTAAGTGGCAGAGTCATCCTGGTCAGCATGGCCAATCAATTCCAGGGTTTAATTCAGTTTTTCCTGATTGGGTCTCTGGTCACTGTCTTTCTGCTCACCAAAATCAATACTTTAACCTTGGGCTTCAAAGTCAGGCCCATCTGCAGGGACCTAGCCTAGACGCTAGTACTCAGTGCCGCAGCCTGTATGCGGCAGGCTCCCCTGCTGTGGTCCTGCCACCCTGCCTGAGTTAGCCTCCTGCCCTGATCAAACCAAAACCAGAGGCTCCCTCCCCATCACCCCCTGGCAGGCCCTGGCTGTTCCTCCATTCTGCCATTGCTGCCAGGCCTAGGAGACTATGACAGACATCCCAGAGTCCTAGATAAGACACCTAGGACCACAATCCATACCTCCTCTTGCCACCACTCTGGCTGTAGACAGAGACAGAACTCCCCAGGCCTCTACTCCCTCATCTGTAAACAGGTGTGTGGTAGCTGATATTGATTGATGGTCAACTTGACCAGAACTAGAGGCAAACCTAGAAGGCAAACTGGTCATCTAGAAAGAAAATCTCCATCTGGGGGGGAAGGTGATTTCTAGACTGGGTTAACTGAGGTTGGAAGATTCTGCCTGAAGTGGGGCAACTATGTCCACAGGCTGGGGTTCTGAACTGAATAGAAAGGAGAAAGAGAAGTGAGCACAAGTGTTTGTCTCTCTGCTTCCTGCGTGTGAGCCGCTGCCACGTGTGAGCCGCTGCCGCGTGCGAGCTGCTGCTGCACGTGAGCCACTACTGCGTGTGAACCATTGCCGCATGTGAGCAACTGCTGCACGTGAGCCACTGTCATGTGTGAGCTGCCGCTGTGTGTGAGCCACTGTCAGGTGTAAACAGTCACCTCATACTCTCACAACTGTGCTTTCCCTGCATGATGCTCTGTACCGTTAAACTGTGAGTCAAAATAACCCTGCCTTTTGTCAGCCATATTTGTGAGATGTTTCGTCAAAGTAATGAGAACAGTCTCTAGTACAGGATGGGGATGCAAAAGAGGAAAGGACCGGATGTGGTCACCTGCCGTTCACATGCCACCACCCTGTCCTCCCATGGCCCTGGGTTTCAGAGATCCACATTGCTTTACCCTGACCTTCAGTCTGAGCTGCCCTGACCTGTCTCACCTCCTTGTTGGGCGTCAGGCCCTCCACAGCCAGCTGCTGCCTCTCCTGCTTCTGGTATGTCTCCAGAGTGCCACACCCAGACGGAGCCCTCCAGGGAATGCCAGCTTACCTCTCCCAGTGGCTACACACATTGGGGTCCTCAGGGTTCAGAGTGATGGCAGCTTGCAGAAGGGAGACGACAAGGAGGCCCACCGTGGATGGCGCCATCGGGCCCTGTGTGGGAGAACAGAGAGAACAGAAAGGAGAGCGGCTTACTCAGACCTCGTGTTGCAGCTCTTTGGTACTAAGGCCCGTCCTCCCTCAAAGTGGATGAGGAGACAGTAAACAGGCCGGGATCCCCGCAGCTGCCATACGGTAATGAGCGCGGGAATTTTACATCACTGACTAACGTGGAGACAGCTCTGAGTAACTGAAGGGGGGTGTCTTGAGTCACAGGTCCAAGATCTCCCCAGGAAGAGGCCCACTCTGTGTTCGGAGCACCACCCCATCCCCCAGTCCCAAGTCTATGCTTGATACAAAAACTCGGATCTGGCCATTGTGGAGTCGAGTCTCTTCCCTCTCCCTCCTCCTCATCATCTGGTAAGGCTGGGTAATCCCATCACCTCCTACTCCTCCTATGCCGAGAAAGGAAGTAACGTAACTGTGTGGCTGTGAACTGAGACAGCACTTCTGAGCATGCTGGGTACCAGCCACCCGGAACACTAGACCTCTGCTTCTCTTCTCTTCTCTGATAACCTCCCCCAGGATATCAGTTCCTTGGTGTCACCAAATAGCACTCCCGCTGTGAGAAAAGGGGCTAAGACAGTTGGATAACTGGCTTTAAGGAAGTGATGTGCCAGGTATCAAGGCCCCTGGAGTATCACTGAACGGTAAGTACTTACTACAGCTACACAGTTCCAACTCCCTTGTCTCCTAAATGAGAGATCCCCAATACCGAGCTGCTGAAGAAGGAAGGAGAGTGAGCCATGTGGGAGGTAGGGCCAGGGCTGAATGGCCCCTTACTCTCCAAGACCTTATGCCCCTTACACTATAGCTTCTTACTCTCCAAGACCTTATACTCCTACATTACAGCTTTAGAGAATGCCATCTAGTCTAAATGTTCCCACCTGATAGGCCATTGACCTTGGAGACACAGGGCAGTGAAGACACATTCAAAAGGGCTGGACCCCATGAGCCCCAGTGTCTGCTGTGAGCTGACCCATCACCATGACTCACGACAGAGGTGCTATTATGATTTATTTAAAGGTTTTAATGAATCCAGGGCAGCTTTTCTTTTCAACCATTGACACTCAAAGAAATACAATTTCCATTAAGCAGGGCTGAGGGTGTTCTGGAAAACATTTTGACATTGGAAATCAGTCCCCAGATTTGAAATGGTTGGGTAGCTAGCCCACAGGCCCTACGTTCTTAGATGAGGGTCATTTATCCTCCTTGGAAGACAAACAAGAATGGCATGTATTTACACACGTCTCCAGACACGGTACTCCATGCGACCCTCCTCTCCTAGACGCTTAACTGTTCTGCTCCCACCTCAGGCATTTCTAGTTAAATCCTTTCTTTAGAAACTCCCCCAACTACAAGCAAATCATCACAAATTCTGTGTAACCATGGGTTCTAAATTAATAACTAATGAGGTTGTACTGTCTCCATACATTCTGGTAATCACCCAGCTAAGTGCAGATTTAGCCAGAGATCAAGGGCATCTACAGATCCCTTGGGGGCAGGAAGGGTGACCCTGCTGCTTCCTCTAAATTGTCAGAGTCCAATTAACTGGCAGGAGTCACTGGAGACTGACCATGGCAGAGAAGGTGACGGCTGTCTGGATGGGCACCCTGGAAGAGGAGGTGGATGGAGTGGGAAAACGGTACAGACTGACAGTCTGAGCCTGAAAGTCAAGTCTCTATCCAGGGCCATGTTCAGTTCCGGTGGGAGTAGAGAGAGAAAGATGTCCGACATTGGGAAGGGGGGGAATGATGATGCCTCTCAGGTCCCCTAACACTCAGACTCCTCCTGGAATTTGGCCAAGCCTGATATGTATCCTGGGCTGTGGGTATGGCTCAATAGTACATCAGTTGCATCGTGTGTGCAAGACCCTGAGTTCAATTGCCAGCCCTAAAACCAACCAGCCAGTCAGCCAGTCAGTCAATCAAGAACCTACAGAGCTACCTCAGTGAGAGTGCTGGCTGCATAAGCGTGAAGTCCTAAGTTTGGATCCCAGCACCAGGTGCGACTGCAAGCACTGGGACCCCTGCACCAGGAGGGGTGGAGACAGGGGGATCACTGAGGCTTGATGGCTGCAAGTCTAGTTCTGGATTCACTGAGAGACTCTGAATCAAGGGGACAAGGTGGAGAGTCATAGAATAGGGTGTCTGATGTCCTCTTCTGGCCTCTGTGAACATATGGGTATGCGATCCTGTACACAGATACAGACACAGACAGACAGACAGACAGACAGACAGACAGACTCTCTCCCTCTGTATCTCTCTCCTCTTTTTATCAGGCTAGGTTCCTCACTCCTGCTCCACCTCCCCCTCAGCCTGCTCTTCATCTTCAGCACCATCATCTACTACCCAACAGGGCTTGACAAGAACCAGGACCATTGATAACATCCGTTTTAGCCCCCAGACAGTGACAGCAGAGGCCCCACGCTCCAGTGTGGTCACCTGCTTTCCCTGCTATCATCCTAGCAAGCGTCCTTTATCTTTCTGATGTGTGGTAAGCAATCAGCGGTGGGAGGGAGAGCCCTACCTCCACTTCAGGGACTGACTCTCAAACAACAATATCGCCTTATCTCTAACACTTCAGTTGGGAAGACAGAAAAGCAGCCAGGAAAAAAACTGTCACCATGTGAGAAAAACTCCTGCCCAGTCACTTTAGTGGGACTTCCCAGGAGCTCTCGGGGAGCACATGAACCAAAGACATATGCTTATGAGATGACCAAGGGACAATCAATCCTGCCACCATGGTTATTAGATGACTCCATTTGGAGTGACAGAGGTTAACGTATCAGGCACCATCGGGGCATTAATAATTAAATAAGAAAATGCCCCAGGATCATTTCCGAAGGAGAGACATGTAAATAAGTCAGCTGGCTTCTTCCCTCTGTCCCTTCTCTCTGCATGCTAACAGGCAGAGAGAGGAGCTGGGTTCCAGAGTTAGGGAACTTCCTCCTGCTTCATAGTGTGGAAGGCCCAGTGAATGAGATTGAGAGCAGCAAGTAGAGGACCTGAAAAGCCTGGGTGGAGTAAATCAGACTTGGGACAGGTAGAGCATGGAAAAGTGGAGGCAGATGCACACACTGGGGTGTGGAGGCAGATGCAGCAGGTGGCATTGGAAGAGCCAGGAGGGAGAAGCTTGCACAGTGGCCGAATGGAAGTGTTGGAAAGTGTTTTACAACTCACGAGGATATTAGAGACCTGTGAGAACATGGCAGAAATGTCTCAGGTAAAGGCTCTCAAGAGTGGATAATCTCAGCCTGCTGAGTCTTTACCTGCAGGGGCCATGGTGCATGGTGGATCAGCACAAACCTCAGGCTCTGAAAGGACCTAAGGAGAGAGAGACCTTTCTAGTGGCACAGTCAGCTTGGTGAGCAGAGCTCCTTATGACCCCAGTGTGAGAAACTTCGCTTCTCTTATTCAAGGTCAAGTTGACCAGGAGGCTGAATCATGCCAGTTCGCATCCTTGGCATTTGTATTGATTTTTTCTGACTCTTCAGGACCTTCTAGGTTGCCACTGGGTATCTTAAGAGACACTGATCTTGGGCAAGGGATGTGGCTCTGTCTGTGGAGTGTCTGCTTATCATGTCTCAAGAACTAGACTCACTCCCCAGCACTGCACAGATTGAACACGGTGGTGCTAATCCCAGCATTCAGGAAGTAAAGGCAGAAGATCAGAGGTTCAAGGTCATCCTCAACAACATAGTAAGTTCAAGGTCAGCCAAAAATATGTGAAGCTCTCAGAGAGAGACAGAGACAGAAATACACAAAGAACAAGACCAAAAATTGACCTTGTAGTAAAAGGAATCCCTCATCGCTACCCAAGGAGGTCTGGCCTAGGTTGCCCATGTAGACTGAGCCAACTTTGAGCATGGTGGCATCCTCAGGACGCCTCTGTTCTATCTTTAGTTTGACTCAGGCCAGCACCTGTGGAGTCCAGACTGTCCCACACCTGGCCAGGCACCAGGGGCTCTCTTAGCCAATGAGCATAAACTGGGACAGAGAGGAGATAGACAGATGGCCCAGGGACCCGTTGTTACAAAGTTCATCTGCGCAAAACTCCTACAGCCTGCTTCATCTCTCCTACCTGTCTCATTCTGAAGGTGCTAAAATCTCATACACTGAAGCCAGAGCCATATCCCTAGACCCTCCTCCTCTCTGCGTCCCTTCCAATGAGTTCTTCTTTCCCAGGGGTGGCAGCAGTCAGACACCATTTTATGGACCCCTAAACTCCTGATCCACCTGCTCCTACTTCCACAGTGACTGGGACTACTTGGTTTAGGTAGTGACTAGGACTGAACCCAGGGCCTCTGGTATGCTAGGTAGACACCCTACCAACTGAGCTACTCACCAGCACTGTTTTATGGACCTTGAAAGAGTTATTCTACTACATCAAAGGGGTTGGAGTATAATGACTGCTTGGAATGCATCAGAGACACTGGGAAAAGCGTATGCCCTAGTTTGTTTTCCGTTACTTGATAAAACACTCTGGGCCAAAAGCACCTTAGAGAAAAGGGTTTATTTTGCTTATATTTCATTGAGGGAAGTCAGGAACAAAAGGAGGATATATACCTGAAGGGATGCTGCTTGCTAACTTACTCAGGTTTGTGCTCAGCTAACTTCCTTATACAGACTCGGGGAATGGCGCCTCCCACAGTGGACAGAGTCTCCTATCTACTAACAACCAAAAAAGTCTCCAGTAGATGAACCTGATAAACACAACTACTCAACTGAGAATCCTTTCTAGAAAGTAATTCTAGGCTTTACCAAGCTGATACTTAATGTTAACTAGAACATGGTACATGAAGACTAACAGTGCTTGTCCTGGGCCCTGGACAGGGCAGGGGAAGCACAGACCCATGCATTTGGGGTCCCTACAGATGTCACTTCTTCAGGTTGTTCTGTAACTACCACCCAGATGCAGCCTCTTCATTATCTCTAGCCCTAAAAACCAGTCTTATTTATCTTTTCACAAACCCTTGCCCTTGCCCCATA